AATAACAAGTGTAATATCCACTAAAGCAAAGCTTAAGTATATAACACCAACAGGTGCGTCTCAAGAGTACAAGACCCTTTAACTCTGCCATCCTTAACATATATCAGGGTTTTTAAAGATAGATTCGTTGGATCAAAAGTTCGCTTTCGCTTAGTCCCTTGAGTTTCCACATAATCTTGAGAAGTGATGTTTTCTTGAAGTTTCATGATAAGTCCAGCAGCAGTATCAGCACATTTGAAGATCTCTCTAGTAGAATCAGATATAAAAGTCTGAAATAAACTTTCATCAAGAAAACCAAGAAGGCCATTGAAGATGTGATGGGAAATTAATAGACCAATGGGCCTATTATGAAATTTCATGTTTGCCCAAGTAGCAATTGTAAACATGGTCATTAAAGTTTCATATCCACCAGGAAGTATAATAAAAGCATCACTATGGTTCACCATAAACATAGTGCAATCATAAATAGAGTTAGAAAGCATCAGACTGGTAGAATTTTTGAGAACTTCTGAAGGAGTTCGGTGAAATGGTAGAACACTTTTCAGTTTAATATCAAAGCATTTTCCAGCCAAGAGAAGGCTACCAAAGAAAGTGAGGCTAGTTCCTCCATACAGTAAATTGATCTTTTGTTTCCCAGTTCTCTTACTAATTGGGATGCAATATCAATATTTGAGAAGAAGCTACAAGTTTAGGATCGCCAAGAACACATATGGTTTTTATAGGTTGAAGAACCTTAGTAATTTTAGAAGACTCAGAAACCTCCATTTGGTGTGGAGAGGTCATAATGAATGATCGATCTATTTAAAGAGAAAGTTTATGAAGAGATGAGTATTATATTGTCGCACTCTGACAGAAGCAACAGACAAGTAAGAAGTTATACTTTAAATGAGCATTATCTATCAGAAGGGATAAGATATTCAATACCTTATAATAAATCGGGTTATCAAAGACAGTTGTTGCAAGCAGGATCCTTAACAACAATATTTTCAAGACTACAGCTGTTTTGTTCATTTTTGAAACAAAACCATAAAGACATAAGTTCTTGATGCACAGATCCACTAGAATGTGTCTCAAGAATCTGCTGGAGTGTTTGATCCATGGATTCTTTACTCAATACATCCTTGATGAAAGCTATTTTATCTTCTCGATTTTGGGACACAAACCCCACCGATTTGCATCGGGTGACGCAATTCCATCGAGCATATTATTCCTTTTGCTCTACGTTTCTTTGAAAGAGTACTTCTACCCATACCTGGCAGATATTTATAGGAATTTGGGAATTCGCCAGATAGTCGAACGTTTGCTTCCATCAACCATCTAATATCATTAGGGATATTATGGAGCATTAGCACTCTCAATCTTTCCACTCGAGATCGATAGATTTTTCTTATGATGTTAAGTTGAAGAAAGGAATAAAAGTTGCGAATATTTGAAAGTGCTAGATCCATTTGTTATTCGGACCATTGCTGAAGATTGAAGGATCTATTGCGTCTGTTTATAGAACAATGGTGCGTATGAGATACGACTTCAATTTGAGTGTCAAAGAGAGAAATGAGTATGAGATAAGATATCAGTCGTAAATTTAGTATTAAAATATATCGAGTGGCAGAATACGCAACCAGAGTGCATTTATGGCATCCGAAAGCAGATGTGATATGTCGACAATAATAATAGCACCTGAATTATTGTGATGCTTATCGATTTTCATAGTGTCAGGTTGCATAATTGAAGGTAAGAGATGGTTACTCCTGAGGAGTGAATATGGGTTATACTCATGATATAATCAGGTAAAATCAATCAAACTGTCAAGGTAGAACCGTTCAGAATTCGATATTTAGATTTTGAGTTTTGATATGTACTCAGTGCGTATGTATCCATTTTCAGTATTTTCGAGGACGGTTTGACCACCGAGAGTTCCAAGTTCCACCGAACCGCATTTGCATCCTTGAATGATAGTATTGTAAGTATGAGTATAACCGAGCTATACTGTGTGCATGGTTGCACAGTTATGGTGACAATCACTTCGACAAGAAATCACAGGTGTGTCGAGATACTGAGAAATTTTTGGCGTGACCCGGGCACCATGCTGAAACTCAGCTCCATGTGTCGACCATGATTGTTTGACCGATGATCTCACGATCGAGGCACTATGAGACCTGTTGAGGTCGTGTGTGCATGTTTTGTTGTGTTTTGTGATTTCTCACCATGGGTGGACCGTTTTGTGTTTTGTGTGTAGAACGAGTATCTGGATGGTACCATTCAGGTTTTCCTTTTTGTATGACTAGAGGTGTGGTAGTCCTTGGGTTGGGGTAAATGAGGATCCGCTGCGGTGTGCGGTTAGTCCTTTGAGATCCTTACTCGAGTTGGGGACTTGAGTTATCGACTAGCTTTACTACCGGAGTTGTCAGGGGTGCATGATGTTATTCATGTCTCGATGTTGCGTAGATATGTGTATGACCCGGACCACGTGGTGGACTTAGGCGAACTGCGGGTCGAGCGAGACCTTACCTATGAAGAGGTACCGGTGGCCATTTTGGACTAGGGTGTCTATCAGTTGAGGAACCGGGCAGTGAGTCTGGTGAAGGTGCGTTGGAGCCGACATGACAAGTCAGAGGCGACTTGGGAAACGGAGGCCAAGCTTCGGAGGTGGTGTCCGAACTTTATGTTCTGAGTTCCCCTTTGTATTTTATTGCTTTCTAGATTTATTTTCAAATTCCGAGGACGGAATTCCTTTTAAGGTGGGTAGATTGTAGCATCCCGTTCGATTTCTAGAATTTCTCAGATTATTTTATTTATCAAATTTTAATTATGTGATTATATATTATATTATTATGTGGATACTATGATTATATATATATATATATATCTTGTTCAATTTTATTTCATCAATCGTCGTTTGAATTTTCAGTTTAATTGCGTAATCTTAATTGTTGTTCGTTTGAATTCATTTTAGAACTGTTGCGAACCGAACTTCGAAACGATTCAACCAAACCTTAAGATCAGTACATTATCATCTCTATAATAGTATTTTTTAGTCAAATTCTTCAGTGTTCGGTTATAGTCGGATTTTAAGTCCGATTTTGGTTCTGTAAAATTTATTTTTCCTCTCAATCCTTTTAGCATGCATCAAGACCATGCTTAAGATAATTTTTACAAGTTAAAGTGGCCATCAATATGGATTTTAGTGAACAACATAAGGTAATAACCAAAACAAAAAGCATATTAATGATCATAGCCATATTATTCTTCATGTGAGCACCTGATCTTGATCCAAATCTTGTTCCCTACCACATGTGATGCTCAACTAGATTCTTTTGTTCAGCTAAGCTTACACATTATTGAGAATCTTGGCAAGATAACTCAAGTCAACACCTCACATTACATGTGCATGAGAGTCCTTAAGCTCTTAAAGAGGTGTTATTCCAAGTTTAGTTGAGTTTAACACTTAGAAAACTTTAGCAAAAAGAGAGAAAAACCGAGTTCAAGCAAGAGAGGGAGAGAAGGAGAAGAACCGAGCAACACTTCTTTCATTTCTCTTAATCATTTTCATTTTCTTGAAGGAGGTAAGATGCCTCTGTTATGACATTAAGGAATTGTTTTCTAAAAATGTGTTCTTTATATGATTATAGTTCGTCTTGTTATCGTTCTCTAGGCTTTAGAATTTTGATAATCCGATTAATATTAGATGAGTTATGATTTTTAGAAATTTATCGTACAAGCAGTTTTTCTGGAACCGGTAGCATGAGTTTATATAATATTTGGCCTGTTTATGGTGTCATAATGTGACCTAATGAATTTGTAGTCTTCATGAAAGTTACAGGTCTGTTGATTAGCTTTCTAATGAGATAGGATTCTTGCTGAGGTGATATCAATAGCTCGAGTTGTGTTCATATGATTGTAGATATACATGAAGTAGGGTTTTACACTTTGACAGAAAACTGATTCGAAATGTTAACTGCTTTTACACTATATAACTGGCCTCGTCTACTTTTATGATCTAAATAAACATTGTAGCCTTATATCTTAGCTTTCTAAGCATTCAAGAATCATGTCGTTTGGAGGTCTGTAGCATGAGTTAGATGACAAATACTGAGGTGCTGTTTATATCATACTTTAGTCTCGGGCAGACTTTATGAATCGAATGTTTTGTGTCCAAACTCAATTATAAAGTGATTATTTGCCAATGTAGTTTTCAGCAAAGTTGTAGACATTTGAGTTAGCTATCATGTGGTTTTTGAGTCTCATTGAAAGCATGTGTGTAGCTCCAGTTAGCTAACATATACTGAAGTCTAGTTAGTT